GTCAGACAGAGCCAATTGGTTCTTTAAATTCAAGTAGCATAGAATATAGTATTTAAAAAAAACAATAATTTTTCTTTTATTAAGCTTTTAAAAGTTCACTGGATACTCATTAAGGTTTCCTGTGTCAAGACTCTTGGCATTTCAGGTATTTATTATCATCATTTTATGTATTATAGTCCAGGCCATAGAGTCAGTTTGTTCATTGCTTTTCTTGCTGTCAAGAGACACCATGACCAAGGCAACTCTAGTGGGGCTGGCTTACTGTTTCAGAGGTTTAGTCCATTATCATTATGGCAGGAAGCACGCAGGCAGGAAGCAGCCGAGAGTTCCACATCTGGATGAGCATGTGGTGAGAAGAGGGTGACACTGGGTCTAGAATGAGCATTTGAGACCCCTTAGCCCACCTCCACAGTGACACACTTCCTCCAGCAAGACCACACTTCCTAATGTCATTCCCTAACCATTGAAATGTAAGAGCCTATGGGAAGTATTCTTATTGAAACTACCACACTGCTCTCTAAGACTTCACTAAGGGCTCTTGTGGTCTTTTGTTTGTAGAGTCTGTTGATGTTTAGAAAATACTTACCACCCTCTGAATAAATGACTTTCTTTCAGAGTCTGGCAAACATATCTAATCAAATTCTTCTCCGCTAAGTTGTCAGCTGGTGGACTGTACCAGAGTCATCTGAATAACTGCATGGAATAAATAAATAGACCTCATCTGGTCCAGGCCAAGATCAAAGAATTTTGGAATTAAAGCTACTGTTGAGTACATTTTCTTCAAAATGATCTTCAGCTAACTTTGGGAATCTTTTTCTCTCATCTATCTTCATCATTTTTAAGTTTTATAAAATTGAAACACAGAAACAAGCTGACTTTGTCAGGTTACCCAAATTGTTCTGCTGGAAATCCTAACTATTTCATTAATTAAAGATAGGATGATAAGAAAAATTCCTTGGAGCTAGGTATTATGTCCATGCCAGTACTTCCAGCACTGAGGAGGCTGAGGCAGGAGGACTTCTGTGAGTTCAAGCCTGGCCTAAGATACAGAGTGAGATCCTGCCTTGACATTTCAATGGGCCAGGAGAAATGCCTTAGGAATAGAAATAAATGGTATTCTTAGAATTCTTAGAGATCCAGTACTTTATATTAGTCCTATATTTTATCAGTCCAAGAAACGGGTGTTATTCCAGACTCTTAGCAATCTCATGAGGAGTGTGATAACCAACATGTACAAACTTACTTGTTCTTTTCACATATTCAAATGGTAATTCCCACCATCTATCCATGTAGCACATGAGTTAGGTGTAAGAGTATAGTAGTGATTAAACAAATACAGCACCTTCCTTTAGTACTCCTAATTGTGAATTTTATAAATACCATAAAGTTTGATGAGTGATAGTGTAGTTTGCCCTAAATCACATAGCTTATCTACTACCGAGGACTGCAGGCCATCAGACTTTAAAAGCCCACACCCTAACCACCATAGTACGCTGCTGCTAGATCAAAGTAAAGGTAACTGATGTTACTTCAGATGTTCTGTTAACATGCATATGTAATCCCAACTACTCAAGAGTTAGAGGCAGGACTGGCTGAGTTTAAGAGCTGAGATTAGTCCTGTCAGTACAAGGATACTGCCTGTTTCTCTTTTCCGCCTCCCCCTCCATTACACATACAAGTACACACGTGCACCCACACATATTCATGCGCGTGCACACACACACACACACACACACACACACACACACACACACACCTATTAGGTTGGTATTTTCATTTCTGCGTTATGTACACAAGGAAACTATCTTAAAGAGGTCATGTAATTTGCCTTTGGTTTTGGCTATTTAATGTCACAGCTTGACTTAGGATGTCTGCCTTACTCTAGAGCCTGCGAAATGGGATTAACGACAGCTAATAATAGAATCAATGAAGTGTAAAGTATTTGATTAGACTAATAAATTACATTGATAAACACCCCAAGAGCTGCTAAGGATCAGAGGAAAAATGCAAGAACAAACGGACTGATAGCATATCCAGAAATCTAAAACGATGTTGGAAAACATTAGTTTAATTTTTCATCAATAGATTTAAAAAATTAGATAAAGTTGTCAAATTCTAGGAAAACAACCTACAAAAATAAAGCTAAGAATATTGGGTCTAAGTAGTTGTCCTTCTATTATTGAGATTGAGTTTATTACAAACCTTCCTGCTGAGAAAACTACAAGGGCAGATAGCTTCACAGTCCAGACTTCCAAACTCTAAGGAACGAGCAAGCCAACATTATGTAAACCCTAACCAACAACTGAAGAAAGGTGAGTGTGAACACTTATCCTATGAAGCAGGATAATGCTGATAACAAAGTAAAGACATTAGGGGGAAGAAAAGCTACTAGCTGTTTCTCTCTTCACTATTGCTGTAAAATGCTGAGCCTTACAGTGCTAGCATATGTGAGCAGGGAGATCAGGAACGGACAATTGACCCTGACTAAGATGTCTTTCCTCCAGAGGTGCAGTGTGATTTCTTAAATAAAGGAAGGCTATCATCTTAGTGTGTCTAAAACTAAAATGGGTATCTGATTAAAAATACTCCCAATGGAGCAAAATTAAAAATTCATTCTGATAAATGGTATCACCAAACATCAGTGATAGAAGACTTAATATTTTTACCCAAGATTAGGAATGACAGAAAAATTTCTGCTGCAATATAACTCATAATCAACTGAAGACTGTATTAAGAAAAATCAATAAAATTCAGATATATCATGACTGCATATAGAATAACTAAAACAGTGACAGATAATCTGCTAAAATTAATTGCAGAGTTCAAGGTCTACAGTATGAGATCCAGGGACAGCCAGGGCTGCACAGGGAACCTGTCTTAAAAAAAATGGAGAAAGCTTATTGATTATAATTTTAAAATATAAAAAGTCAATTTAAATATGCTAACAGCACACCAAAAATGTAAAGTTATGATGTTAAAACCATTTAAGTCATAATTTCATAAATGAAAAAACACATATGCTTTCTACATAGAAAACTTCCAAACATTATTATAAAAGACTTTAACAAAGACATGAATAAATAAGTAGAAATACTGTCTTCGTGAGTTGGAGATTCTATCATGGTACAGATTTCGATTCTGATTTCACTGTTGTAATCCCAGGTTTTTAAAAACAGAAATTGTCAGGCCAGTTCTGGAGTGTATATAAATATCATGAACCAGGAATAACTCATAACAAGTTGAAGAAAGAGTTGGCAGTAAAAGCATTGTCAAGCTATCCTAATAGTTCCGACATCTTATTATTAAAGATGATTAAGTAGAAAATAGGATCCAGTGCAAATCACACACTTGGCTTACTGTATAGGTGGCTTTTGGCTTTTGAAAGGGAGGAGGGAGATAGTTTTCCTATGCTGTACACTTTTGTGAATAAATACTGTTGGATCAGTTAATATTCATGTAGAAAAATGCTGAAATTGACTCCTATCTCATATTATATTAAAATTAATTTCATGATATTTTTATATCTAATCATGAGAAGACAGAATTTCTGTCAGATAATTTATAAGTGACACATTTCCATTAATGTGTGCTGAAAACCTTTACTTATAAACCAGATATGTACTTTGTTAACTTTTCTTAATTTTTCTGAAGTTGTCTGTAGTAATTTAGATGGGTGTGCCCCAGTAGGCTCATGTGTTTGAATGTGTGGCCCACAGGGAATGGCACTATTAGGAGGTTGTGGCCTTGTTGGAGGAAGTATGTCACTATGGTGGGTAGGATTTAAGCTCAGGTTTGACCAGTGTGGCACAAAGACTCCTTCTGCTACCTGTGGATCTAAATGTAGAACTCCCAGCTCCTTTTCCAGCACACAGTCTGCCATGATGATAATAGACTACACCCCTGAAACTGTAAGCCAGCCCCAGTGAAAGGTTTTCCTTTATAAGACTTTCCTTGGCTAATGATGACTCTTCACAGCAGTAGAAATCCTAACTAGGATATTCACAATCATATTATTCTAATTTAACATATCCATCCTCTTCTCCTTTGATTTCTTCAAGAAAAAATTGACTCCCACAAACCCACATGTACACTAAATTTTTTAATTATGATAACTATATAGTTACCACAATTATATATATATATATACATATATATATATGTTATATATAATAGAAGTAATAATTTTATTCGCAGGCAAATGGGTAGAACTAGAGAAAACCATCCTAAGTGGGGTAACCCAAACCATAAAGACAAATATTACTCACTCATAAGTGGATACCAGATGTAAAGCCAAAGATACCCAGCCTACAATCCACAACCCCAGAGAAGCTAGAACCCTCTTCCAGAAACAGATGAAAGCAGATGCAGAAATACACAACTAACCAATGGGTCAAGCTCCTGGAGATCAATCAATGTGAAGGAGGAGTGATAATATGAACAAAGGAGTCAAGACCATGATGGGGAAACCACAGAATCAGATGACCCGAGCTAGTGAGAGATCACTGACTTAGGTCTGACAAATGGGGAACTTGCATAAGACCCAACTAGACTCCCTTAATATAGGTGACAGTGGTGTGACTGGGACAATATATGGATCCAAGATCTAACACTAATGCACAGAGTGACTTAGTGGAGCCCATTATATATGGAGAGATACCTTGCTCAGCCTAAACACAGGGGTGTGTGTGGGGGGGAGAGGTGCCTTGGTCCTGCCTCAACCAGATGATGGAACAGACTTAGACTTTCTAGGGGAGGCCTTACCCTCTCTATGAAGCAGATGGAAGGAGGGGTGGGAGAAGTAGGAGGAACCGAAGGAGAGGGAGAAGGGGGAACTGGGATTGGAATGTAAAAAAAATACATTAATAAAAAAAGAGAAAAAGGTTATCATTTTAGCTGTTTTTAGGTTTATAGTTCAATATGATTTTTCTTAAGATTTTCCTTAAGATTTTTTTTTCTTATTTACTTATATTTGTTTTCACCCCATTTCACCTGTGTTTCAGAATCCAACTCAGGTTGGAACAGCTCTTCAGGTTTTCCATAACCTGGGGACTTTGAAGGATACTGTCATCAATGTTGTGGATGGTTACTGTGCTACTTTAGAAGACAGCATCAACAATGCATTGGACGTCAAAGTTTTGACTCAGCCTTCTCAGCCAGCTGTGAGAGGTATGGGAACGGTTTATATTCAGCTCCTTTATTTATTTATAACTGAGAAGTTCTTTGAGTAGGGTGTCAAACATTCATATTTCAAAGCAATCTAATGACTCATTTTCAGTAGACAAAAACTGAGAGAAGAAATTATGTTTCAGAATGTATTTATAGGTTTTGTGTAGCATTAGTGAGTTGTACTGGCCAGTTGATATATTCAGAACCTCTAGATAAAGATGTCTGGGCTGTGGCATCATTTAGTTGCAAGGAAACATTAAAAAAAAAAAAAAAAAAAAAAAAAAGGAAGAAGAACAGAGAATATTTTTTTTTCTTCCCAAAATCCTGATCCTGATATGTACTTTTTATTGGAAAAGAAAATATTTTTAAGGAATGTCATTTCTACTTTAGCTTTCTAGTCTTTTCCTTATACATTTCCTACTGAGAAATAATAATGCTTGAAGCAGTCAAAATGGACCAGACCCTTGGTATCGTAGCACCTAGGCTGACTGCATGTAAAGAGAACTGCAGTAGACTCTAGCCCTAAGTTAGTGCTCAGGACACTCACACTGTCACAGCACACCTCTTCAGAGAAGGTGGAAGACCACCCATTGTATGTGTTTCTTCCCTCCCGTGCTTCTGTCCTTCCATTTCTCACTATGTGTTCCTGTCTTGCTAGTCTAGAAGAAAAGTGTCCAACTTGTCATTCTATCCCACCCCTTCTCAGTTTTGCTTAGCCCTGACAACTTGTCAGTTTTCCCGTCTCTCAGCTTCTTTTTCATCACACAATTGTCCTCCTCTGTCACCTTTAGCTTGAAATCAAATATATCTTGATTTCCTCTTCTTTGACTCTTAAATTTCATTTTATTTTGCCAGTCTACAGAAAAATTTCCCACATTATTATCTGTGCTAACTGTAATATTCCCCCCCCCATATTTTTATTGAAGGCACTCTGACATTCACAGAGTAGTCTTGAAGAATAAACAAAATGACCATGTAGATTAATGATACTTCTAGTGCATAGGCAATAAGAGAATTCCATTTTTGTGGTGGTGGTGGTGGTGCACCCCTCAGCCTTATCTACAGAGTCAATTCCAGGACATCCAGAGCTACACAGAGAAATCCTGTCTCAAAAAACAATAAAAATCAAATACCAAAATTTTTTTTTTATACTTCATCTTAAGCAAAAGTGAGTTCATAGCTCCCGAATCAATTGCACTAGTAAAAAGTAATAAAAGAATCTTAAGTCGACTAGATTTCTGAAGGTTTACTTCAGTCTCTGAATAGGTCTATATTGATTAGATTACCAAAGGAGTTTGTTGGGAAAAAATCACCAAGGGAGATTTTCCTTTCAAGTTTTGTTAAGAATTATTTTCAGAAAGTTTGATATAATGTTTAAATTTCTAGGAGCTGTTTAATCTCATTTCCTCTTGGGATGTCAAGAACAGGGAAGGGGAAAATGAGAGCAATTATTCACATATTGTCAATTTTCTTTTAACCCCCTTTGGTTTTTCGAGATAGGGTTTCTCTGTGGCTTTGGAGCCTGTCCTGAAAATAGTTCTTGTAGGCTGGTCTCGAACATACAGAGATATGCCTACCTCTGTCTCCTGAGTGCTGGGATTAAAGGCGTGCTCTACCACCACCACCCGTTTATATTGACATTTTTTTTTTTTTTTTTTTTTTTTTTTTGCCTAACACAGTCTTTATACAGTAATGGATTTTAATGTGACATATTCACATTTACATATTGGGGTTTTTTTTGATAATTTTTTTAAATTTAAATTTGAAACAAGTTTGTTTTACATGTCAATCCCAGTCCCTGCACCCTCCCGTCCTCCCCAGTTTCCCCCACCAACCCCCATCCCATCCCCTTACTGCTCTCCAAGGAGGGTGAGGCCTTCCATGGGAGTCTTCAAAGTCTGTCATATCATTTGGAGCAGGGCCTAGGCCCTCCCCCCATGTGTCTAGGCTGAGTATCCCTCTATGTGGAATGGGCTCCCAAAGTCCATTCGTATACTAGGGATAAATACTGATCCATTACTAGAGGCCCCATAGACTGCCCAGTCCTCCTAACTAATATCCATGTTCAGTGAGTCTGGGTCAGTCCTATGCTGGTTTCCCAGCTGTCAGACATACTGTCAATCTTAATGTAAGCCTCTTTTTTTTTTAGAAAGAATAAAGGCTCTTAAAGCTGCCTTTTTGCCATCTGTTGAGAAGTGGGTAACATGATGTAATATAGAAATCTCAAGCACTAGTTCCTCATCTTTTTAAAGGATAAGTATTATCTTTGTTTTTAATATGAAATTGTTTTCATGGTAATTTTCTCCTGTATGTTGAGGTTACATAGAGTCATTTTAAATACTCATTAAAGTAGTTGAGTATGGAGGAGCATCACAACAATTATGTACATGGTTTAGGGCAAAAAAATTAAACATTAATTATAAATTTTCTATAGATTTAATATTAAGTAATATATTTTAAATGTTACTTTAAATATATAAAGAACAAAAAATCTCATAAAGATAGCATAGAGATGGATACCTTTAGATCTGGATCCATGAGGCTGGGGCAGGAAGATAGTACATGTTTGAGACTACCTATGCTACCTATGAGACTGTGTCTTAAGTAAAACGAAACAAACAAAAACACAGCCAAGTTTGCAAGCAGACTACCTAGGGTACATGGCAAGACAGTGTCTCAAGAAAATGAAACAAAACAAAACTAAAGCAAGAGCCAAGTTTACAAGCAGACTATCTAGGGTACATGGCGATACAATGTCTCAAGAAAATGAAACAAAACAAAGCTAAAGCAAGAGCCAAGTTTGCAAGCAGACTACCTAGGCTACATGGTGATACAATGTTTCAAGAAAAGAAAACAAAGCTACAGCAAAACCTAAGTTTGCAAGCAAGCTTGGAAGTTGGCTGTGTAGCTATGAATAGACTTGTTACAGGACCACATATTCAATAAACATATGAAAGGCATTCAATATCTTTTTAGGGGATGGACTAGTGATTAGGAACATCCAAACTAAGCAAGATACTGTTTTCTCTTATTTAGTTAGGAAAGCAAAAAAACATGTATTCATGTTGTAGGTGAGTAATGGTTCAGTCCCTCAACCTTACAGTTTGATTTCTCAGATTAAAATTATGTGTTCCTTATGATCCCAACTCCTCTATAGGGATGTGTCGCAGAGGAATAAGCTGTATATAAATATACACCAGAAAATTTAAATCATGGGATGATAATTCTAAATTTATGAGGCCCTTTGCTCTGGAGAAAGAGTAGAGGAAACAAGACTAGAAAAGAAGAAATGGAATATTATTTTATTTTCTGTTATGTTCCTAAACTTGAAGCTAATATTTACATTATTATTCCATATGTGCTATTTTTCTTATAACTGTTTATTTTGTGTATGTGTATGTATGTGGGCACACACATGCTTCAGTGTGTATGGATGTCCCAGAACAACTTAGGGAGTAGGTTGGCTCTGTCCTTCTACCATGTGGGTCCTAGGGATCAAACTCAAGTGATCAAGCTTGGTGGCAATTGCATTAACTAATGGAGCCATCTTGCCAGCCCTCATATGCTTTTTCATATGTTGAAGTATTTTATTATCCTTGAATCTGGTTTTTATATTTTATTCATTATATTTTAAATGATTTGCTTATTTTTTTTGTTGTTTTGTTTTGTTTATGATTTGATTATTATCTCTTGTCTTTTTCATATGAATTCTCTTTCTACATTTCTACACTTATCTCTTCTTTGGATTTCACAATATAATTGATTTTTCAAAAATGTTTTATATACACTGTTTTTGGAGTTCTTGCATGGTTTGTAGAATTTTTTTTATCCTTGTGTTTAAATAGTTTGAACAGATATAAATTTCCACTTATACTTTCTTTCCCTTAGAATTTTACAGCTTTTTGTGTTTCAAGGTGTAATGTTTGTCTTCCTTACTGAACTAAGGAAATAAATAATTGATGTAGAAATTTAGGAGATAAACCTGCTTTAAAGAAATAACATTACCTTATCACCTCAGAATTTGTGCTCAATGTCATCCTGCCCTGATTCAATGACACTGATAGCATGTGAGTCAAAATTCACCCTTGTACATGTAAGGATTTAAAAGCAGATGATAGGAAGACACTGGGCATTTTGCCCTAAGTCACTCCTCTTCACATGGGAAAGGTGTGTGTGTGTGTGTGTGTGTGTGTGTGTGTGTGTGTGTGTGTGCGCGCGTGCGTGCTTCAATGCATGTCTATGTAGGGGCCATAGGTTGATTTGAGAAGTCAACAGCTCTGGAATTACAAGTAGCTTCAGAGATGTGCTTTAGCAAGCTTTGCCTCTTTTCCTATTAAGTTGACAGTGGAAGCTAATCCTCAAACTGCCTCTCAGCTCATCTTGGGCATCCCTGAGTTTGAGGACCATTGTCCTACCTAGATCAGACTGACTGTCTTTCCCTCATCTCTCCATTATCTCTAAAACTTCCAATTCCTTTGCAGCTTCCATTAACATACCTCTTCTAGCATCCCTTGTGTATTTTCTATAGTCATTGGAAGTACTCTGAATTGGAACCAAATCCTAACAGTCATTAAAACAAAAAGCACACCTCTCAGGTGACTAAGAAACTGTGCACTCTCAAGATTCACTCAGTAGGAAATCTCTTTGTCTGTAGGTTGTGCTTACAATTGATTTTAAAGCAGTTTCCCACTAATGTCTCATTTGTCAGTTATCTGGTCTCTTCTTTCTTTTAATTTATCAATGGCATTTGATTTGAGCACGGCTTCATGGTCATGTCAAAGGGCTTATCTGATTCCTTATTTTAAGTAAATTACTTGGTTTTTGTTTGTTCTTAATCTTGCTGGCTTTCAAAGGAAGAGAATATCATTAACTAGAAATCATCCATAAGTATTTTGTTTTTAATTTCAGGAACTCTTAGTTTTTTTTTTTTAAATTTACTTCAATAAAAACAGATTTATGACACAGTTTATTGTCTCTCGAGTCTGTTAAATCTAATCAAT